GCACTTTGGGAGGATGAGGCAGACAGATCATTTGAGGTCAGGAGTTTGAGACCAGCCTAGCCAACATGGTGAAACCCCCTCTCTACTAAAAATACAATAAAAATTAGCTGGGCATGGTGGCAAACACCTGTAATCTCAGCTACTCAGGAGGATGAAGCAGGAGAATTGTATGAACCCGGGAGGCAAGGCTGCAGTGAGCTGAGGCTACACTATCACACTCCAGCCTGGGTGACAAAGTGAAACTCCATCTCAAAAAAAAAGAAAAAAAAAAATTGTATAGTCCATTTTTAAGTTAATTCTATATCTTCTACCAACTAAATGAATGCTGCATTAAACATTCATTCATTCATTCAAATATTCGTAGAGTACATACTATTTTCCAGGTACTATATTCCAGGCAATGGGAATGTAGCAATGAACAAAACAAAACCATCCTTGCTTTAATGAGAGGAACTGAACACCATTAAAAAAAAAAAGATGCTAAAAGTAGTATGTCTTAAAATGAATACAAAAGCGTAACAGTGATATTACTAGTGATAATAGGAAGTGGGAATAATATTCGAATGAGATGATATTCGAATGAGAAAGTGAGCAAGGCAAGTAAGCAAACAGCACTGCAGACCCATGCAATAGTAAGTCCAAAGACCTGGGGAGGGACAGCACTTAGTGTCTATGAGGAAGAGCAAGGAGGCCACTAAGGTTGAAGTAAAGGAAGCAAAGGAAAGCATAACAGAACCAGCTGTAATAGACCCACAATTCATCTATAACAATTGTAACAAACCTAATCATCAATGGACTCTTTCCCCATGGATAGGTTTTTGTTTTAGTTTTTTTGTTTTGAAAAGGAGTCTTGCTCTGTTGCTCAGACTGGCGTGCAGTGGCGCAATCTCAGCTCACTGCAACCTCTGCCTCCCAGGTTCAAGTGATTCTCCTGCCTCAGCCTCCCGAGTAACTGGGACTACAGGCACGCGCTACCATGCCCAGCTAATTTTTTGATATTTTTAGTAGAGATGTGGTTTCAACATATAGGCCAGGCTGGTCTTGAACTCCTGACCTTGTGATCCACTGCGCCCAGCCAGATAGTTTTTAAACTAATATGTGAAGTGGTAGAAATTTAGAAAAACTTCAAATTCATTACCTTGCAAAAATTCTCTGTTTTGGTATTTTTCCTCATATAATCAAAGACTGCTGATTGTTCCAATAATGTAAACAATATCCTGATGTAGAAGGTACTATTCTATGCGTTAAAAATACTTCACATTACATTTCAAGAACTTTAGTATCCATGAGTCTCATGTATGATACAACACCAACTTCCTTCCAGAAAGCAGTATCCTGCTCAGTAGATCTGAATATCTTTTGGACAAGTCTGCTGGGATATCCTTTGGACAAGGCTTCAAGTGGAGCACTAGTGTTCAATTCTAAGAAGTTAGAAGTTAAGAAGAATACATATTAGTGTAATTCTAATTTTCTAATCATGTCCCTTTCTCTCTTCCCTGTCAATAATTTAGTATGGTATAAAAGAACTCAACTGTTCCCATATATGCCACAATACCTATCACAAGTAAATATGCTTAAAAAAATCTGATTCCATTAAGTCAAGATCTTTTTCGGCCAGGCATGGTGGCTCATACCTGTAATCCCAACACTTTGGGAGGTGGAGCACTTTAGGAGGCTAAGGTGGGAAGATCACCTAAGGTCAGGAGTTCCAGACCAGCCTGGCCAACATGGCAAAACCCTGTCTCTACTAAATATACAAAAATTAGCCAGGTAATTGTGCCATGCACCTGCAATCCCAGCTACTTGGAAAGCTGAGGCAGGAGAATCACTTGAACCTAGGAGGCAGAGGTGGCAGCAAGTTGTGCCACTGCACCCCAGCCTGGGCAACAAAGGGAGACTCTCTCTCAAAACAAAAAAAAAAAGACATTTTTTAAACTAGTGTTTTGATTTCCAAATGCTAATTTATAAATAAGATTAGAAATTTTTTAAAAAGTTTTAATTAACAAAACATATCTATATTAGAGATGAAAGAATTTCAGAGGGCACTTATATTGAGGAGGAAGCCACAAGATAAGCAAAATGAAACCAAATTTCTTCCAAGGAATTTTAAAAAGCAGGTTTTAATTTTTTTAATAAAACAAAAAAGAAATATTGAAAATACAAGCCAAATGTGCATTAGAAAAATAACGAACTTGCCTACAGTTATGTAAGCAATTAAAATGAATAAAACGGCAGCATTAAACATGCTGCAAAATGTACACACACCCACTCCCATTAGTAAAACTGGAAATGGGAAACTAATGAGCTCAGCTGCAGGAGCTTGTTTGTTTTTTACTTTTCTCCACTTGCTCAAAATGTAATTTCTATTTTACCCTAAAGACTTTTGTTGGATACAGGCGGAATCAAACGTTCTTAAACAAAAATCTGAATGGGTTTTGAAAATGCATAATAGGAGCTTCATTTGTTCTAATGCACATTTGATGTATTCTGTTTAACATTTTTGACAGGTTAATCGTTTGTCCTCATGTTTAAAGAACACAAATGTTTTGCCAGTGCTGTTAAACAGATCATGTTGGGGTGAAAAGAAGGTGTCAGAGAAGGAAAAAGGTCCATGTGTTTTCTCAAAGTGTCTAAGCAAATAGGAGGGGAAAACATACTTAGGTAGTTGATCATGATATGTGAAGTTGTAACTCGTTACAAAAGGGGAAATAAAGTACAGTTCACTAATAAAAATAAACAGTTTATTAGAAAACTCATTATCTGGAATAAAGAAATAAGTTATTTGAAAACTAAAAAACAAAAAAAAGAAACTAAAAGGGTTATACAGAGAATGGCTAAAGTAGCAAAGGTGACAAAATAAATGTCTCTTAAAAATCAGTTCACCATGCAAAGCAAGGAGTTAGATGAATATGACTATACTAGTATTCATTTTTGGTTCTGACTATACTTAGTACTGCTTGTTTTGCTCTGAGTTGAGCTTGAATTTAATTAAGAACAAAAAAATTATGAGAAATATTTTTATCATATTCAACTGCAATTCTGGTTTAATTTTTTTAAAAATATGTTCAGTTTTAGGTCTTAATTAAGAAAGAATATAAATTGGATTCCCTAATAACAAGCATTGCTGTAAGGGAAATCCCTAATAAAAAGTGTCACATATCAGGCCAAAATCTAACAAATATTTGTGACTTAATGCATGCTATCAAAAATAATCAAACAAGGCCAGGTGTGGTGGCTCACGCGTGTAATCCCAGCACTTTGGGAGGCTGAGGCGGGTGGATCACAAGGTCCGGAGTTTGAGACCAGCCTGGCCAAGACGGTGAAACCCTGTCTCTACTAAAAATACAAAAATTACCTAGGTGTGGTGGCAGACACCTGTCATCTCAGCTGCTCAGGAGGCTGAGGCAGAGAACTGCTTGAACCCAGGAAACGGAGCTTGCAGTGAGCTGAGATCACACCACTGCACTCTAGACTGGGCAAAAGAGCAAGACTCTGTCTCTAAATAAATAAATAATCAAACAAACAGAACTAATACATCAAAAGAACTGGAAAGTCCATTTGAATTTATAGGCCACGATCCAGAATTCAGACAAGTGTTAATGGCTAGGATGCATAAAAATTTTAGCAGAACTTTTTAGCACAACTAGAGTTAAAATTTGAAGACAAATCTACTAAAACAATTTAAAAATATTTGTTCTGTTTATACTACAAAATTTTATTTGAAATAATAATATACCAGACATCCAGCACTACCTAAAACAGTGTCAGCTGGTGAACTTGTTTTTCCTCCTAAATGCATTCCCAGTTTCCATTAATGATGGCACTATTTTAAGACTCTAGTATTAAAAAAAAAAAAACCTCAGTATCATTTGACTCTTCCTTTTCTCCCCTCAACCTGTTCATCCCTAATTAATTGCTAAGTCTTAATATCTTTTGACATACACTTCACTCCAGTCTCATTATGAAGACCTTAGCTTAAACATTACATTTATTAGTCTCTTGCCATTGCACCCTAACTGGTTTCCCTAACTCCAGTTTCAATTCTAAAGCTCTTGCCAGATTAAAGCTCTAAAGAACAGATTATGTCACTCCCATCTCAAAAACTTCTAAGGGAGTCCTGCTGAATACAGAATACAGATGTTCATGCTCATTAGCCCATCATTCAAAGTTCTTCTCAATCTGGCATCAATCTACCTTTCCAACATCATTTCCCATTATTCTCTTCTATTTCAATGTAGGGGGGTACCATTCCCCACAGTCAAAGAGAGCTAATTGGTATTTCTTGTACATGGCCTATAATTTCTGACTTACGTTAGTGTCTATGTTTAATTCCTTCTACTTAAAATAATATTCTCCTCAATCAATCCATCCAACTGTGACCTCCTTTATGTTTAAATTTCACCTTTTATGACGCCTTCCCTGATTCCCCACCTATGCGTAAACTCTGCCTCTACTGAACACCCCTCGCACTTTGTGAATTTATTATATAATACCTCACGCTTTATAACATGATTCCTTATCTAGTGACCTTAACTTTCTTATTAGATTTCTTAAGGAAAAAATATCCATAAAGGGACAATTTCTTAAGAGAAATTACCTCCAGAGCCATGCACATGGTCAACATTTATATATGTTGAACATTTTTAAATAAATGAGCACACATATTATATTTATAAATAGGGATAAAAGCCAATAAAACAGTATGATGATAATATACTGAGTAGGTAATACATTCCACTAATTGAAAGCTAGACTATGACCTAAATTTTTAAAACTGGTATTAAAAACTAACTACGTTTTCAAATCATATTAGATTACCAGTATTAATGCCAAAGGGGAAAATAATCAAATCTATATGTTCTCATAACTCAAACTCAAATATCAGGACATACTATTTATTCTACATATATATATATATATGTAACAACTTTGTTTCCTAACTATGCAAAGTTCACAAGAAAGTTGTTGACAGCATATCAAAATAATAGGAATTCTCTTACTTTGAGAAAACTTTGGAAATCTTTTATTCAGTTTCTTCCTCAATTGACTAAGTTCAGGCATTATTTCTGGAACAGCTACATAAAAGTCTACAACAATTTCATCATCCAAAATCTGAAAAAAAAAAAAAAAAAAAAAAATAACCTTAGATGACATGAAAAGCTTTATCATTCTGAAAGAGTATAATGCGGTCATTTCCTTTATAATTCAGAAAATAGATATTAAGAACAATTCTCTTCTTCAAACACAAGGATCATACAAATACACTTGCAATTATAAAAATCATCAGAGGCAAAACATTTCCCTTTACTTTAAAAACAGCCACATCAATTAAAAAAAAAATTAATGGTTTTAATTCTTCATTGGGGTTGTTAGGCAAAAGTATTACAAGTTAGAATACAGCAATGAATGTGTACAAAGTTAAATTCATATATTTATTAAAACTGAAGAAACCTACAAAAGCTGAAAATTTTGTAATACATCACATGTAAAATTAATAACCACTAAGTGCCAAACTCACTAGCAACCACTAGCTCCCTAAATTTAGAGTATCAGAGAACTGAATTTATAATTATTTTCACAAAGAACTGAAACTCAAATTTTCCTTACCACTGATAACTAAGTTAGAAGAGGGGGTGATCAAAGACAAGTTCATTTATAGTTTATTATCCAGAGTCTATATCCATTCTCAGAACAAAGGAATTAATATTCAATTTTTAGAAAATATTTTTATTAATTCAGGCAAACACCCAGAATAACTAATATACTACTACAATATACTCCACTTAAAAACTCCACTTAATATACCCCACTTAAACATACAATATATTCCACTTAAACTCCACACCTGTAATTCCAGCACTTTAGGAGGCCAAGGCAGGAGAATCAATTGAGCTCAAGAATTTGAAATTAGCTTGGGCAACAAGGCAATACCCCATCTCTACAAAAATCAGCCAGGCATGGTGGCACACGCCTACAGTCCCAGGTAACTGGGAGGCTGAGGTGGGAGGTTTGCTTTAAGTGAGGAAGGCAGAGGTTGCAGTGAACCGAGTTCTTGCCACTGCACTCCAACCTGTTCACCAAAAAAAAAAAATGTTACTTGAGTATAAAATGAAGCAACTTTTTAGAATGATACTACCTGAGCAACAAATATTTTATCAATGAATTCTCTTTGGATGAAATCTTACCACAATACACCATTTAAAGCCTTGATTTAGGGTTACACGGTAAATTAAAAACTCGAATTCTAACAAAACTAAGCAATGACTGTGGAATTTTATCCTTCTGTTACTATTCTTTGTACAAATTCTTTAGTCCTTAAATAACATACTCCCCTCTCCTTAACAACAACTTACATTAAACAGGCACTTCTCATGTGCCAAGAATTCTGCTAGTTAGTATAATTTAGAACATATAGTCTTCACAACAACCTTGAGTCAGGTACCAATATTGACTACACATTCCAGATAAAAAAAACTGAGGGCTCAGGGAAGATAAGTCAGTCTGTACCTAAGAAGGCAGAGCTAAAATTGAAATATAGGCAGTGTGGGTCCAGAACCAGGGCTCTCATCACTGGAAATAGGAAAGCAAAGGCAATTTCAAAATGTCAAAGAACTATATGTGAGATTTCTATTCCAAGACTTTCCAATCCTAATCCTATGACATGTTCCTTTAAATTAAAATTGTGTTTGGAAGTTATTCTATAAATAATCCTCAGATTGTATGTTGGAATAATAAACTGTGGCTGGAAATCATGCTCTTAGAGACAAATAAATATATGAAGTTACTTTAAAATCTCTCAGAACCAGGCATATCTGTGATGTTTCAAAATAAAGTAAAATAAATTTAATAAATGAATGTGTTACCTCAAAGAAATGACTAAGTAAATTTATCCTACTTTGCATTTTATAAGAACTAAGTAAAATGATAAACTAATTTAAAAACACAGGAACGTATAAAAAATTGCAGCCATAATACTATTTACAAAACTGTACTGAATTTACTTCATAACCTGAATACCTTCTAAAAATAACATGGACTAGCTTTAAAAGACACCATTGGGTAACTTGCCAACTTATTCTGGTTATAATGCTTTACATAGGTGGCATGCTCCCTCTAATAATAGAACCTCTATTGGGGCCCTAAAAAGAATTTCTGTACCTATTAATATTTTCTATACTACAGAATTTTAAAATGTCATTGGCTTTCTTATTTGGGTTACTTTAAAAAATATGTTTCATTTACTGAACTTACAGCTTCACAACACTTTCTGCTCTATTACCATTTCTTTTTTGAAAGTAACTTCTTGCTTAACATTTAAGAACCAGAGGCCAGTCACAGTGGCTTAGCCAGGAGCAGTGGCTCACACCTGTAATCCCAACACTTTGGGAGGCTGAGGTGGGCAGATCACTTGAGGCTAGGAGTTCGAGATCAGCCTGGCAAACATGGCAAAACCCCATCTCTACTAAAAATATAAAAATTAACCTGGCATGGTGGCAGGCACCTATAATCCCAGCTACTAGGGAGGCTGAGGCAGGAGAATCACTTGCACCCAGGAGGCAGAGGTTGTAGTGAGCTAAGATAGTGCCACTGCACTCCAGCCTGGATAATAGAACAAAACTCTGTCTCAAAAAAAAAAATTGAAAAAAAAAAAAAGAAAAAGAACCAGAGGAATGGCTATGACAGTCCTACAAGATAACTTTTGTGCTTGCAAGAAGAAAATAGAAAGCTGTACACAAACTCAAAATTAGTTCTCTAATTCCAGAAACCCAGCTCTATTCAAATTTCCAAACATTTGTGATTATTTTTTAATAATTCAAAAAGTTTTAATAACTTTATTAAAATTAATAATACATCAGAAGGAATTGGGTGGCACTCTCTTTGGCCTAGAACCTGTATTAAAGCATACTCTTCCTACTTTCCACTAGTTCTGTTCCCAAAAATCATTCTGAAGACTCTCTTAAGAATCCAGAATCCTCAGCAAATTTAGAGTACTTTTAGGAGAGGGAAAAAAAAAACAAACCATAAGCCCTGCTGTATATCTCAAAGGATGAGCCCAGTTAAAAGTTCCCTAAATGAAAATTAGAATATGTGACAAAGGATAAATTTTCAAGCCACTTTTTCCTGTCTCCTTCCTCCTCCCCACCAAAAATTCCATAACATAAATTATTTTATTTAGAAGAGGAACGTTTAGAGATAACACTAAGAAAATCTTTTGTATTTTCAGAAATAACTCCATGCCTCTTCTTTCTGCCTCTTAAAAAGGAGAAAAAGCCAGGAGCAGTGGCTCATGCCTATAATCCCAGCAGTTTGGGAGGCTGAGGTGGGCAAATCATGAGGTCAGGAGTTCAAGACCAGCCTGGCAAATCATGAGGTCAGGAGTTCAAGACCAGCCTGCCCAACATGGTGAAACACTGTCTCTACCAAAAATACAGCATGGTGGCACATGCCTGTAATCCCAGCTACTCAGGAGGCTGAGGCAGAAGAATCGCTTGAACCCGGGAGGTGGAGGTTGCAGTGAGCCAAGATCGAGTCACTGCACTCCAGCCTATGCGACAGAGTGAGACTCTGTCTCAAAAAAAAAAAAAAAGGTTTTAATTTTCAAAGAGGCTCCCCAAGCTCTGTTATTTTCTTTATTTATTTATTTTACTTCTTCATATTTTGGAGACAGTCTCATTCCGTTGCCTAGGCTGGAGTGCAGGGGTGATCTAGGCTCACTGAAAACTCTGCCTCCCGGGTTCAAGCGATTCTCATGTCTTAGCCTCCCAAGCAGGTGGGATTATAGGCACGTGCCATCACACCTGGCTAATTTCTGTATTTTTAGTAGAGGTGGGGTTTCGCCATGTTGGCCAGGCTGGTCTCAAACTCCTGGCCTCAAGTGATCTGCCTACCTCAGCCTCCCAAAGTACTGGGATTACAGGCATGAGCCACGGCATCCAGCCAAGCTTTGTTACTTTCTAAAGGCAGGCTACGTAATCATTTGTTGCTACCATACTGAAAGGATTAGGAGCTAAAAGTTAAGAGGAGCCAAAAGCACTAATATTATAGAGGGCAGATATCACACTTTATAATCTACTAAGTGAATTATACTTTCACTCCAAAAAACAAACCAAATATTTGATCTTCAAACATGAACAGAGGGGTTAATGGGAAGCCATGAAATCCATGAGACCTTCTGGATTTCATTTTAAATCTTACATTCAAAACCAGAGTCACATTGCCCTTTCCTATCCATAAAACTCTCATAGACAAAAAAGAAGCAAACAAAAAGTAGTAATAATAATAATAATCACAATATAAGTCAAGTATAATCAATATCAGATTGTCTGAGGTTGGGTGTGGTGGCTCATACCTGTAATCTCAGTACTTCAGGAGGCCAAGGCAGGAGGACTGCTTGATGCCAAGAGTTCAAGACTAGCCTGGGCAACAAGTGAGAACCCCATCTCTACAAAAAGTTAGCCAAGTGCAGTGGTATGCACCTTTAGTCCCAGCTACTCAGGAGGCTGAGGCAGGAGGACTGTTTGAGCTCAGGAGCTCAAGGCTGCAGTGAGCCATAATGGCACCACCATATTCTAATCTGGGCAACAGACAAAGACCTTGTCTTGAAAACACACACACCAAGGCCTGGGGGGTCGGGGAATAGGGGGGGAATACCCCGGGGGCTGGGGGGGGGGGCAGGGATTGGGGAGGGATAGCACTAGGAGAAATATCTAATGTAGACAACGGGGTGATGGATGCAGCAAACCACCAACATGGCACATGTACACCTATGTAACAAACCTGCACGATCTGTACATGTATATACTTAAAGTATAATAAAAAGAAAAAAAAAGAAAAAAGAAAACACACACTGGCTGAGCATGGATCACAAGGTCAAGAGTTCAAGAACAGCCTGGTCAATATGGTAAAACCCCATCTCTACTAACAAGACAAAAATTAGCCAGGCGTGTTCGCGCACGCCTGTAGTCTCAGCTACTCGGGAGGCTGAGGCAGGAGAATCACTTGAAGCCAGGAGGCAGAGGTTGCAGTGAGCCGAGATCAAGCCACTGCACTCCAGCCTAGGTGACACAGCAAGACTCCGTCTCAAAAAAAAAAAAAAGAAAAAAAAAAAACACCCGCACGCACACACAAAATAAATTCACACACACAAAAAAACAGACTGTCTGGATAGTTCTCTCCTGGCTTGATTTTGAAACTGAAAAAAGTTGGAAAATTTTTCCCTGTTCTTATAAAGCCCCACTATTGTAAGATACAAGCCTAGTGTTCCACATATAATAAATCACTGAATGGCAAAGATGACGGAATCATCTCTATATATAATGAACATGAAAACAACACTGTACCTTCCGTATCAGATTAGTACCTCCTGCAAATGCAGCTCCATTTTCTTCTGCTATTTCGACCTCTGATGCATTCTACCAAAACACAATAGTTTGAACATCAATCTTTAATTTTAAATATATTCAGTCTGCTTTGAAGTATGTTGTCAGAAATAATATTACAGTTCGAAGCACAAATTGTAGCTTTTATTTTTAACTGAAAATGCGCTGGGCACAGTGGCTCAGACTGGTAATCCCAGAAGTCTGGGTGGTTCCCCTGAGGTCAGGAGTTTGAGACTAGCCTGGCCAACATGGTAAAACTCTTTCTCTACTAAAAATACAAAAATTGGCTAGATGTGGTGGCACACATCTGCAGTCCTAGCTACTCAGGAGGCTGAGGCAGGAGAATCGCTTGGACCCAGGAGGTGGAGGATGCAGTAAGCCAAGATCAGGCCACTGCACTCCAACCTGGGTGGCAGAGTGAGACTCCATCACAAAAAAAAGAGAAAATGCAGCCGGGTGCAGTGGCTCACGCCTGTAATCCCAGTACTTTGGGAGGTCAAAGCAGGCAGATCACCTGAGGTCAGGAGTTTGAGACCAGCCTGGCCAACATGGAGAAACCCTGTCTCTACTAAAAATACAAAAGTAGCCAGGCATGGCGGTGCATGCCTGTAATCCCAGCTACTCGGGAGGCTGAGGCAAGAGAATTGCTTGAACCCAAGAGGTGGAGGTTTTGGTGAGCTGAGATGGCACCACTGCATTTTAGCCTGGGCAACAAGAGCAAAACTTCATCTCAAAAAAAAAAAAAAGAAAGAAAATGTAATCCCAACACTTTGGGAGGCTGAGTCAAGAGGATCACTTGAAGCCAGGAGTTCCAAACCAGCCTGGGCAAGTAAGACCCCCATCTCTACAAAAAGAAAATCTTAAAATCTTAAAAATTAGCCTGCCATAGTGGCTAGCACCTACAGTTCCAGTTACTCAGGAGGCTGAGGCAAGAGAATTGCTTGAGCCCAGGAGTCTGAGGCTATAGTGACTGTGCCTCACTTCCAGCCTGGACAACAGAGCAAGACTCTGTCTCAAAAAAGAACTGAATGCATCAATTTTCAATTAAATCCATCAGGGATATTACAATCAGGACAATTACAGTTTGTGGATGATTAAAAAAGAAATTTGTAAACACATTATAAACAAACATTTATAAATACACGACACTTTTATAAAAGCTAGATACTTTTAAAAATTGTGGTTTCTGACTGGGCGCAGTGGCTCACGCCTGTAATCCCAGCACTTTGGGAGGCCAAGGCAGGTGGATCACAAGGTCACGAGTTCAAGATCAGCCTGACCAACATAGTGAAACCCCGTCTCTACTAAAAATACAAAAATTAGTTAACTAGGGCATGGTGGTCCACGTCTGTAGTCCCAGCTACTCAGAAGGCTCAGACAGGGGAATCGCTTGAACAAGGGAGGCGGAGGTTGCAAGTGAGTTGAGATCACACACATTACACTCCAGTCTGGGTGACAGAACGAGACTCTGTCTCAAAAGAAAATGGTGGTTTCTAAGGCACCAACCACAGCACTAAATGGTTCCCCACTGCTTTAAAATCATCCTATTGCTGTTTGGGAAGGAAAGTTTGAACAAGAAGCAGGAGTTAATAGGATAAACTGATAAATTCCACTATTTTCTTCAGTTTCTTATGAGAAACATAATGCAGCATTCTAGTAATAATGAAATTAATGTTCTAATTTAGCTCTTTCTCAAGCTAATAACATAACCTCAAATAAATCACCCAACTGTTTTGAGCTCCAAATGGGGAAAATAAGGCTAGGTGAATGCTAGAATTTTCTCTAACTCCATTTATTCAGTATACTAATCATTGATTAATAATTAACGATTAATTAGTCATCTCTAGAAAAAATTAAATAATATAAATAGTTGACGGAAGTTACTCACCCCTGTAAATACAGCGACTTTCTTGATTTCGGAAGCAAATGGGTATGGCAAACTAACAACACTGGTAAATGGCTCCACGTCTTTCTAAATACACAACAAGGAAAAATAATTATGACAAGTTTATCTTTTCTATCTCTCACACAACTCTATATAAAACAAGAATGGACATGTTTTCAGTGTTCTGATTCTACTGTATGTTCTCCCATTAATTCAGAACTATTCATTGATTACTATTCATGAATTACTTACTATTCATCAATTACAATTTAAAACACAAGATATTATATTTCTTTTTCAAGAAACTTTTTCAAGATTATATTTTTTTGATAATAAAAACCAAAATCTCTTTTTCCAGGTTCATAATCTCATGCCACTTGGCTTCTATCTCTACATCATTCATCAGTCTCTCAAATATTATGAGATGTGTTTGCGTATCGACATCTTCCCCAGCACTGCTACAATGCTTTCCATCTGATGAATAATAAATGTTTGCTACCTTCAATTGACTGTTTTAAAACCATGTAATCTTCTGACACCATCAGGGAGACATGAAAACAGCTGTACATACTGAACAAGACAACATCTAGCTGATCTGCCCAGTAGGTTACCCCTAATTGCCATCAACTGGCTCTAAACTATCAGGACTGTAAACCCTAAACCCAAGACAAAATGCCAAGCCTAAATGGCTCTTCTGAGTGACTCCATTTTCGAAACAACCTAGACCATCATGACTTTCAAATTGATTTAGGAAGTCAATTGGAAAATCCTAAATAAGAAATGGCATGCATTTGAGGCACACTAATACAAGTGGAGATTTTATAGGACCTTCAAACTAATCTGTTCAGTCATTTTGACCAGGAACTATTGAGACCTGAGGCCTAGATCTCTTAGGGAGACTACATAGAAACAAGTTCTTAGGCCCTCCAAAGTTTTGTTATAGCCTTAAGGTTTGAAGAAAAGGTGGTCATTCCCCTAATAAAACTGACTGAAAGATCAAGAAAACCCTATTTTGAGTAGAAACATCCTCCTGGAAGTTTCTTTTCAGACAAGAAGGGACAAATTATTAAGTATATTTTATATCAATCATACAGCTTAGCTTTACGGACTGGCATTCCTTTGCCATTAACATATCACAACTGGTTTCAGCAAACTTTTCAGTGGTAAGCAGTCACAATAATAGCATCCCCTGTGAAATACTGGCCCGTTGTACAAGCACCTTATGAAGAAAAAAAAATGTCTTAAGAAGACAAAGGTATCTTTTCAATGTCACTAGTTTTCAAGCAGCTTCCATATATGAAATGAAGCTTATGGTGCTACAAAACATCATTATCATCTACATTAATGATTGACTGAGAAAGTGATCATCTTGAACAGTACAAAATTTTCAAAATAAAAAAACAGTAACACTCTGATACAAAATACAAAACGGTAACACTGCTGTTATAAACTGTTTCTAATAAACGAGAACTAAGAAATGAGACAGACCTTGGGTCAAAACTTTTTTTTTTTTCCACATTAAAAAAGAAGACATTTATTCAGAGTCACGATCAGACTATTACATTTAGCAATCAACAGCATGGGTGCAAAAAAAAATAATAATAGTCTACATTAAAACCCTTTGTTGGAATGTTTTACACTTTCCACAGAACAGAAACTAAAATAACCCATTACACAATTAGTCATAAATACAGTCCTCCAGTTTTTTGCCCATATACATGAGTATTTGTCTAAATCATGTCTTCTTAGTAGCACCTAGGCCCTGCCACCACTGTGCTTGGCTGAGTTCACAAATCTGTTGTAACCTGTAGCTTCCCTGTCACTTCTCTGGCTCTCATCTCCTGCTAAGCTTTGTTTCCTAATTAAAATCTGCTGCTGCCGCCAAAGCTACTGCTGCTGCTGGAACCGCCAGAGCCACCTTGGTTTCATGGTTTGGCAAAATATTGGCTGCCACCACCCTAGGGGCCAGAGCTTTTGCCTCCAAAGTTTCCTCCCTTCATTGGGTCCAAAATTTGAAGGCTGGTTGTTGTAATTGCCAAAATCATTGTAGCTTCTGCCACCTCCAAAATTGCTTCCATCATTACCAAATCAATTACAGCCATCCCCACTGCCACCATATCCACCACCACCATGGCTGCCACCAAAGCCACCATGACCACTGAAGTTTCCTCCACGACCAAAGTTGTTATTCCCACCGAAACCACCTCCATGACCACCACCAAAGTTTCCTGAACCACTTCAACCTCTTTGGCCAGATGAAGCACTAGCCATCTCTTGCTTTGACAGGGCTTTCCTAACTTCATAGTTGTGGCCATTTGCCATATGGTATTTCTGAATGACAATCTTCTCCACAGAGTCATGGTCGTCAAAGGATACAAAGGCAAAGCCCCTTTTCTTGCCACTGCCTCGGTCAGTCATCATTTCAATCACTTCAATTTTTCCATACTGTTCAAAATAATCTCTTAGGTGATGTTCTTCAGTGTCTTCTTTAATGTCATTAACAAATATTTTTTTCACAGTTAAGTGGGCACCTGGTCTTTGAGAATCTTCTCTTGAGACAGCTCTCTTTGTTTCCACAAGTCTTCCATCCACTTTGTGTGGCCTTGCATTCATGGCTGCATCCACCTCCTCCACAGCTGCATACGTGATGAACCCAAAGCCCCCTGGAGCGCTTGGTGTTTTGATCTCTCATTACCACAGTCTGTGAGCATTCCCCATTGCTCAAAATGGCTCCTCAGGCTCTCATCAGTTGTTTCAAAGCTCAACTCTCCAATGAAGAGCATCCTCAGCTCGTTAGAAGACTCTGACTTAGACACGATCACAGGGAGAAGAGAATTCAACAATGCTTCTTCGGTGGCATCCACAGGCAGACAGGCCTTGCTTCAAATCTTACCTCTGCCCCCTATTCTGTGACCTTTAGCAAGTTATTTCACTTTCTATACCTCAGCTTCCTCTTCTGAGATTATTACAGAATTAAACAAGGAAACATATGCAAAGCATTTAGCATTGTAGCTAGTAAACAATTTTCGGTAAATGTTGACTATTATTATTAAGCACACACTAAGTTCTTTACAGGCATTATCTCGTTTAATCCTCCACAACCACAGGAACATTTTATTCCCTTTTAGAAAGCGATGAAAAAACTGAGATTTGAAGAGGTTAAGTATTAAACTCAAAGTCATGGAGCAAAGAAGTCCATACTCAAAAAGCAATGAAGCAGGTTTCCAGTCTGTAGGTGGACTCTAGAGCCTGTGCTCTTAAGCACCGCATTGTACTGCCTCCTCCTAGGTGCTCTACTACTGTTGTTGTTGAGGTTGTTAAATTGCATTCAAAAACTAATACATTCTAGGTTGTCCAAAAAAAGGACATCCTTAGAATAAAAATTAAAGTCATTTCTAAAAACATTAGAACACTTAAGCAAGAAGATTATAAAATTTAGGGCTAAACTAGACCTTAATACTAAGCTAGTGTCTTTTCCTACTTCTAATTTAGAGTTTTACAATCAATAGTATTCTGTTGAATTCCAATATATAAACAAATAAAGCAGAGAAGCTCTGGTTGAAGCAAGAGTGAGGAACTTGGAATCCCACCTATGAAAACTTAGTCTCCACGAATGTTCATTGCAGCACTGTTTACAACAGCAAAGACCTGGAACCAACCCAAACGCCCATTGATGATAGACTGGACAGGGAAAATGTGGCACATATACACCAT